TTATATTTTACATATGTGTACCAAGTTTCAAAATAATCCATCCGCCCGTAAATAAATAATTGTTTTGGCGTACATGCTCCCCTAATCATTTTACTCATGCACTGCTTCAGTTTTTTCAGTGGTAAGATGTTTTTTGGGCAAGTTCACCAGTTGGGCTAGTGTCTCGCCTTCATCATCTACACGCATGTTAAATGCTATCTCATTAACATAGTTGGTAGTGTACAATTCACTAATTTCTGCACGAATCTTAACATTTTTAATGGCTTTCCCTTGTCACAATCTTATTTTCTCACTTTAAGGTCTATGAAATTTTATTTAGAGTCTTATGGATTATAACAGACCATGGACCATTCATGGCCATGTATGTAACATTTATACCGTTCTTGACACGTCATGAGGCTAAATCTGTTGCTTAATATTCCAGTTAATGACTCGTGCTCCAGTGCAGTGGTTCCCAAACTTTTGAAGGCTGGCGCCCTTTTGGCTCTCAAGTGAAGTCCTAGCGCCACCGTCATATGGAAACAAACACCTTTTCCTTAATACTTGTTATGCTGCAATTTGAAAAGAGAAACGTTAAACACAAATGTGTAAGTATTTCACAAATAAGAACCAATTTAGTAAACCTATATATTTTAGCAGTTTTAACTGTTTCAACAAAATAGCCCACCGCCAACCCCCCAGATCGGTACCGCCCAATTTGGGAACCACTGCATTAGGGCTTTGGTGTTTATTTTACATCTTCAGTTCAATCTATAATAATGAAAAAATTATGATTTCTGAAGTATTTTTTAACGTAAAAAAATGCTCGAGAAATGGTGTGCCTATAAAAGCAGTTGAGAGGCCATAAAAATCATCAATATTGAATAATCGAACATATATTTCGCAGCATTGGATAACAATCAATCAACAATATTTTGGTGCTCAGAATAGATTTGATGTCAGTATAATCTTAAAAATCATTTCAACCCACCGGCCTGGGCATGAGGTCATCACTGGAAAATTGGCCTCGTCCAATCGTGGATGAACCAAAATCATCCGAGTTTGTGAGAAATCTATCTCAGAACCGTGACCTTCGCATAATTAGCGCTGTGTGAGTTGAATAACACGACTGACTTCCATCCAAGATATTCGGATTCATGTTTCCGATGTTTAAGTCGTGAGGTGCCGTTGTGGTGCAATAAATCACTCGTCGTGGAGCAATAAATCATCTATTTTCCGCTTCATTTATAAATTCATTTATACGCATGCGTGCATTTTTTTGCTTATCACTCGAATTATAGATTCTAAAGCCTTACTCATTTGATAAGAAATTTCCTCGCATCAGATAAGAAATATTTTGTTTTTGCGCAAAAAGTGAGGCTGTGAGAGCTGTAGGGATATCACGACACAGAATATCACTTTTTTTCTCTATTTGACAGCATTTCTCAAAGCGTTACAGGATTACATATGCAATAACCTGTTTCCCATAATTTGTAGAGTCATTCGCACTCAAGTTGTTAATTTTCTTTCTAGTATATAAATAAAAAAGTTGACAATGTTCCACGAGCTTAAGTTGCCTAATCTTCGTCTTATTTCTAGAAAAATTTCAACAAGGAATAAATTGTAATCATTTTTGTACATGTACTGTTCGCCGGTAGTATCTCGTACGTGAACCGAGGTCATCAAATTCTTAGTCAATTTATTTTTTTAGCGCAGCAAATTTATTACACGATTCGCAATTGTCTTCCTCTTCTAGAACAGACTAGACGAAACTATGCAGGAGCATATGTTCAGTCTTAAAATGCCTAGCAAATTACGGACCAGGCAATAAGTCCAGACGAAGCTATGCAGGAGCATATGTTCAGTCTTATAATGCCTAGCAAATTACGGACCAGGCAATAAGTCCAGCAGCTATCGCAATCAATCGTCAGTTATGGAAAGATCGGGTTCCAAAAGCCGGATCTTTGTGAATCAAGTAACGAAAAGTACAAGAATCGGCACCAGGCCATGGGCCTATTTCTTCAGTGCTGACACTTCTATTCTATTCTTTCCGTCTATCTCGCAGGTAAAATTACCCACAGTTTTCGTGGTTCCATCTTTAGCAGATTTGCCAACGGTTTGTGGGTGTTTTCAGAAGGAATTTCGATTGCTCCATCTCGAATGTTGAGGGGAGTTCTAGGAAAATCTTAGAAAGAGAGTTGTAATAGATACGACAGTAAGGAAGAATTATCGACTTAGAAACTTCATACAAATTATGTTGAATTTCTATATGGGCAGACGCTTTTCAGCGTTTCTGGTCGATTTTCATCCTTCGCAGTGACTTTCAATTAAGCTTTTCCACCCATTACTGGTATGGAGTGTCATGAGCGCTCAGAAAAAGCAATGGGTCAAATTGTCTAAATAGTGACACATTTTCCACACGTACCACTGATAAGCTTTTATACAGTGCCAAACTGTGCATGGATGACCCACACAAGGCGAAAGTGATTGTCGGTACGAAGGTATGTTGAAAAATATATTTCATAACCTTGTATGTATTCGTTTGCAGGAGGTCTTGAAGACATCACACGCAGAGCAACAAGTGATCATTGTACTCAAAAATGAATCTGCCGTATCTTTTCTCATCCCATCATAAGTTTGGTTTGTTCTTACTAAACACTAGTTTATGCCTATTTATCAGCCTTGTTACTCTTTTTAGAATTCTCTTCATAAAGTCTAATCGGTAAAGTTCATCTCAGTTCCTAAATATTTTTTAGGGCATTTTCTCATTTACGAAAAAAAAGGCGCTATTGTGCTCGTCATGTCCGTCCGTGACTTCAAGTTTTTGTCGACGAGAATACGCGCTCTATGTCACTCACTGCAGTGAGTACTGAGTTATATTTTATTTTTCTTTAGCACGCGCCAGAGTTTGAAATTGTCGATCTACTGCGGAAGCCGCCATGTTTTCTTCAACACGGTATGTTCTTATGTCGCTCTACATTGTTTGCTTTATGTCCGACCATCTGTGGACCAGGCTGCTTATGCTGACATGAATGTCTCATTTGTACAGTTTCCTTACAATCTTCCTCACATTCTATTAGTCAGTGACTCGCTCCAATGTTGCATATTCCGTAGTTGAAATAAGTAATTTTTTTACTAACTGATAATATAAGACAAATTAGTGGAATCCCTATTAATTATTTCGTTTTTACTAATAAAAAATATTCGTAACCAACCGTTCCGTTTGAGGCTGCAGGACAGAAAGACTTGATATCGAATCTCATTTATTGTTTGAAACGCAGGAATAACATTGAAAAAAATCAGGGAAGTAAGGTAGCTGGTGTGAGCAGCTATGAAACAATACTAAGTTATAACTGAAACGAGGATAAAAAGATTAGAATCAGCAAAGAAAAAATCAGAAACAGTAGAGGAGAAATAATGAAAAATATTAAAAATTATGAACAGTAATAATAAATGAAATAATAAAGACTCAAATCCTGCCTGTGCTCAAGCGCCCAGCGCAGTTAGCGCGCCAACACAGGCCCCAGACTGAGCATCGCTGCTCGCGGTTTGTAAATCAAGATTGAAGTTAATAACAATTTGTTGAATCTTGTCAGAAATAGTTTACTTTGCAGCCCATTCTTCAGCGCATGTTTTACTTTCGTTCATGTTGGTAGACTTTTCTACCAGCCGTCCCAATTCACCTGGTAAATATCGCTGAAAACTGTCTACATCCTCAGGCTGGGAGCAGCTTCCGACACCACAAGTCTTTAAAAATTATAGAAAACATTGTCTACAATGTAGTAAGTGCATGTTACCTAAGGATGTTTTAGTCCGTCTAATAAATTACGATCGTGAGATGGGCTTTTGAAAGTTCCTTATCTATGTTTTCATTTTACTATTTAAAAATCGAAATGTATTCGTAATAATGAACATAATAACAATATACTAATCCCATAACACATTTGATTCAATCTGGACAGCGACAAAAATATATATACTAAAAAGTTAGCACATGCAATCAAAACGCCAGTAAGTTATATGTAAGAATCATTCTTATTATTGTTAAATATTTCATTATAAAATGTATCAAATATTTCTAAGCAACTCCCCTAAGCTTCGAAGTTGTGATAATAGGGAAGAGGGCATGGAGATGATGCAAAGTAATTGCATTGTTCACGAGGAGACGATATCTCGCGATCGACGTATGTTCGCTAACTCATTCTGAGGTCACACTTCGCTATGCGAAAATTTCGTGAATTGCTCATTTGCCGTGCGGCCGTTGCCTGCCTAACCCTTCGCTTATGACTGAGGATCTGGTTTGCTCGATTGTTTTTTCCGATATATTCCATGATTTAGTTTTTTCGATTTCATTGGCCAGCAAAAATTTTTGATAGCGGTACTTCCTTATTGTATTATATTTCATTTAAAATAAAAGAAAAAAGTAAATAATTTGAATTTCGAAAAGCAATGAACAATCTTCATAGTAAATATTGAATTTTGGGCCTCTTTTGGCTTTTTTGTGCATGAATTTGGTCATTTTTATAGGCCATCTGGCAACTCTGCTGAGAATTCGCTCGAAAATCCACATGATGATGAGTTGATAATTGTGTCAGTTACTGTGCTACAAACTAGTAAACCGATGCCATCGTAGCGCATGTTTATGGAGGGGCAGCTAACATGAAACACCGAGGCTTACGGCACGCGACAAACACGCGCATGTGACAAGGGAATGGACGTGCGATGCCCGCCCGTTGGCCTGCCTTGTTAGGTGTGCACTAAAGAGCTTGAGGCTTGGGCATAGCACGCATCCACTATATGTTTGAACGTGAAACGGTAAAACTTGAACAGAACAATCGAAACAATTCTCAATAGTGACGAAAGCCAAATAATGCCAAGCTCTAATTCAACAGCGACAATTAAGTATTTAAACGAGGAAGCCTCAAGCAGAGAGTGCAGTCCCATTATTGCGTCCAACAGCTGTCAACACAGCAGGGCCGCTGGCTCCCACACTCAATCCACGGATGAAGCAGGATGGCGGTTGGTCCGCGCCTGGAGACTGGCGCCACTTCTCGATTGCCGGGTCCAAGTTACGGGCCGGAAGTCACAGGAGGTTCATCACAAATGAAGAGACGTAGGTTACCGGCACTGCCAATAAGAAATGATGGTCAGTGCGACACAGTGGCGAAATACCGATACTGTGAATACCGATAACTTAAATTACATCGCCGCCCATTGTCTCTGAAGTGACTTCAATTAATAATAGATACTGCATGGTAACATCATGTAATCCTTTAACAACTTATCATTACCCTCATCAAATTCAATTCCATCCCTATATATAGCGCCACTGAAGCCTTCCTGAGCCCTCAACATCTCCCACTACAGCCTTCTCATCCCCACACATCCTCACCTTGTGACTTCGCTGCGCGTGGCGCCCGCATCGGGGGTGCGGATGCCCTCCTCGTGTAGCAGCGCCAGCAGTCGCCGCTCCTCCCCCGCGTTCAGAGCCGACCTTCCAATATAAATGGCCTCGTACCTGTGAGACGTTATAATGTCGTTTAAATAAATGAATTAACGTAATTGCATTCAATGCTGGAAAGTAAGCACAAGTCACACTCTAGCGGGATGCGCATAAATATAATAATACTGATCTGCCAGCAGGCCAACACAATGCGGAGGCTGCTGCGGAAAGAATTCCAATTCTGCTAAGGGGCGCAAAACTCCTTAATTAGGAACAAATTCGCAATAATCGCAATCCCGATCAGTACATGCATGCTCCGCTATAAAATTGAAATAAAATGCCGTAAATGAAAGTTGGATGGACTGATAACATCAGACCCATATCATAGTCCGCCAAGCGACTGACCTCTTGCTGCTAGGTGCATAAGCCTGCACAGTCTGGGCCACCGCCTCCCAGCTCACCGCCGTCGATCCCATCACCATTAGAAGGGGAGGAGGCGTGTGTGGTAGTGGCACTGCTAGCACGGCAGTGTCAGTCACTAGCGTATAAACAACTGTTGGGAGAAATGAAATGAAGTTTGCTGGTCAATCTAAACAATTTTTCGAAATTTTCTTATCCCATGGTGGGATGGAAAATAAAATATAGTGAAGATGATTATTAGAGATTATTCCTAGAGATTATTCGCTAGAGCTGCACGCTTGTCGCTGGAACAGCACGCTTGTCGCTAGAGCAGCACGCTTGTCGCTAGAGCAGCACGCTTGTCGCTGGAGCAGCACGCTTGTCGCTAGAGCAGCACGCTTGTCGCTAGAGCAGCACGCTTGTCGCTAGAGCAGCACGCTTGT